GGGGGTTGTTTTTTTTTTTTTTTTTTGTGACAACTCAGTCCACTTCAGTTGTGAGCAAAATTTTTTTGCAAACATTAAAACACTGTATAAATACCAACTATTATTGATTATACTTATTTGTGTATGTTAAGCCCTCCTACTAGATTGTAAACTCCATGAAGGTAAGGGCCACGTCTTCTCATCTTTGTGTGCCCCACCATTCGAGTACGTAGTATTAAATCTTTAAAGTTGAGTAATGTAATATTAAAATTCATTACATAAATTATTTCACACACAGGTTAGGCAAGCTAGCCTAGGTATAGTACTAAAGAACACTGAGAGATAGAAGGCAATATGTGCCAGGTAGGTCAAGTCGCTACTACCACTTTGACTACCATCTCCCCTCAAACCCTGATGGAGACAGCCCAGGAAGGACCTTGAGCTCAAGAGCCTTGGGAATAGCAATGTCCACTAAACCACCAGACCAGACTTGTTTCCAGGCCTGCCCCCACAGCTCTGAAGGGAAGAAATCACTGTGTAGAGGAATCCGACCTACCCAGCAATGACTGCTGACTAACTGCCACCAACGGGTACCAGGGTGACCACTGGTCCTGCTTCTACCCTATCACTTAGAGCCATTATCCAGGCAGGAAACTCTCATAGAGAAGGGACCAGCCATACCCAACAGCTGCCAGACCCATTGCCACTCAGGATGTGGACAAGCCAGCCTCGCTGAAATAGAAAGGTACTTGGCACCCTGAGGGAGAGATGGCAAGCAGCACATGCTAGGCAAGTCAAGCCATCACCACCACCACCTCCTGTGGAGACAGCCCAGGAACGACAGTGCTTCCAGCCTGGTGTCCTCAGCAGTTCAGGGAAGCAAACCCTGTGGAGATGCAGTGTCTGGCAACTGTTCCTGCAGGTACTATATAGCCAGATCTGTTGAAGATTCAGAAAAGAAAGTTCTTATCACCAAAGTCTTTGGCACTGTCAAATGGTTTAACACCAGAAACTGATAAAAATTTATCACTGAAAATGACATTTAAAGAGGAAGCATTACCATAGGCCCCCTGTCCATAAGTTATACAGAATGAGGAGGTATGGGACATCCATATCAGTGAAATCACAGATCCACTGAAATATTAATTCTCTTACTGCTCCATTTTCTGAAACAGATTGGGTATTTTAGCAGAATTAGCGGATACAGATTTGTATTCTGATCTTTTCTTATTAATTTGGCTTTAAGATTTTATTCTCTTGTACCTAATGAGATCATTACATGGTTCATTCTTTACAGGCTAAATCATTTAAATCTTTAGTGCTTATAAGAGATTCTTAAGACCTTGCTGCCACTTTCAGCAACAATCATTACATTTTTTGCTACACTTTTTATGACCTGGGGAATAATGTGACATTTTCATTTTAGGTATTTCAGAAGGAAGCTGCCTTGTGTACCTGCACAAGTTAGCTGCTTCCTGAAAAGGACCAAAGTAATTTCTTTTGCCCCACTCTGTAGTTTGGCTTTTGGAATAATCAGGGTTGTAGTTAGCTCATAACAATTCAACAGTGGGCAGTGTTGCATTAGCTAAACTTCCTTAGCACCCTCTATCTACCTGATTGCTCATTTTCCCCATTGTCAGCTTTTCCATCCAACCTCAACACCCCCCCCCCTTCAAGATACCCACATGATCACATACAAATTGCTTTTGTGTGAGCCACATCATAACCTCTGGTCACACTCTCATTCATTCAACAGACATTTATTAATTAAACTCCCACCATATGCACTGAAGGCAGCTAGGTGGTGCAGTGGATAGAGTACAGTGCCTGGATTCAGGAAAACTCATCTTTCTGATTTCAAGTCAGACACTAGCTGTGTGACCCTGGGCAAGTCATTTCACCTTGTTTGCCTCAGTTCCTCATCTATAAGATGAACTGGAGAAGGACATGACAAACCATTCCAATGTCTTTGCCAAGAAAACCCCAAGTGGGGTCACAGAGTCAAACAGAACTGAAGCGACTAGACAGCAACGTGTATTCTAAGTGGTGGTGGAGAGACAATATAGTGTGGCTTCCACTGCCTTCCTTACTCCATTCCTGTAGGCCCCTTCTCATTAGAGAGTTCGTCCCAGAATCTTGATTCTGGGAAGAGGCTCAGACCAACCATCCCTCATTCTTTGATCTTCACCACCAGACTTTTATTCAAGTAACCACCACCACCACCACCCCTATCCCTTTTCAGCTCCTCCTTCATGAGTTGTCTTTCTGGTTAGAACGTAAGCTCCTTGAGGGCAGGAACTGCCTTTCTTTTGTTTGTTTGTATCCTGGGCACTTAGCACTTTGCCTGCACATAGTAAGCACTTAATCAGTGCTTGGTGACTGAGTGGAAAAAGTATTGCAGATACAAAACTACTTGTACATGTTGCTTTGAAGAATAAACTGTTGAGTTACTCTTAGAAAAGATTTTAAATTGCTTTTGCATATTTTGTATTATGCTAAGAAATGATTATGGATTTACAATAGTTAAATTTCTTTTCAAAGAAAATAAGCGGGTTTTATTCTCTTTTTTACAGAATGGAAACAGACTATAGTCACATGGAGCTTAGCAGTAACACAGAAATTGAAGAAGATTCTGAATTTCAAGATTTTGAAAGAACAGACGTAAAAGACATGAGACTAGAAGCTGAAGCTGTTGTGAATGATGTTCTTTTTGCTGTTAGCAACATGTTTGTCTCCAAAAGTCTTCCTTGTTCAGATGATGTTGCATATATCAATGTGGAAACAAGAGAAAGGAACAAATACTGCCTGGAGCTCTCAGAAGCAGGGCTTAGGGTAACTCATTCTTCTTTCTAGGAAAAAAAAATTATTTGGATAAGATTTTATCACTTTATTTGGATAAGACTACAGAGAATTATACGACCACTGGACATAATTGATTTTAAAGATTTGTTAATATTTTCAAAAATCTTTGAGTAAATACAGGTAAACTTAAACTTTGGAGGAACTTTTGGTTTAGGTTTTATGTCATTGCCTATCATTTTTTTTCCAAGTCCCTTTTTCACCCACAATTAATGGTCTGCAAGACTGCATTAATAATCCTGCTTATTAGATAAGTTACTTTTTCATTGGGAACAAATGCCAGTGACACCTTGTATACCTGGGTTCAGTCTCTAACTTTAAATAAATCACAAGGGAGAGTCAAGTCTCTAAATTTCTAAGAGACCTCCTATTGATCTAGACCAACCCTCTTTGTCTTGGGAGACCTTAGCAAGAGGAGATACTACTACAGACTAAATGGGGTGAGAAGAATCTGAAAGGTGAGATTTCATACAATAAGAAAGTTCATAGATCTTGGAATTATCTCTATCACATCAATAATTATATCTCAGTCCCTTTAATATATTTCTATTCAGTAAGGTAATTTATTTATGAGTGCTGATACATACTCATCTGAGTTTCCTAATTTTATAATCAAAATCAGGAGTTAAAAATATATGATGATACTTATCTATAAGTATCTATAGATACCTATTCAGGATATCTATTTTAAAAATCAGTTATCACTCATTTGTTAAGCATCTACCATTCACCGGGCACTGAACAAGATGTTGGCAATACAAATACAAAAGGGAGATAATCCCTGCCTTCCAGGGGCTTATAATCTACTGAAACTATCATTATAATTATTATCACAATTGTATTGTCATTATTACAAAATTTCTCATTATGATTGGAGTTACAGTTAAAACTTTGATTTAATGAGCAATGGACTAGCTATCAGAACCTCTGAATTGAATCAGAGTAGTAATTAGTCTTAGTAATTTCTTGAATTTTCCTTTGGCCTCATCTCTTGTTTAAATAATTCCTGTAAAGGTATAATATGTTGTAGCCAAAAGCAGAGACTATCATTAAGTTGCAATGTATGTCATTTATCTTGGTGCTCTATGTACACATAAGTCTTTTTTTCATGATATAGCCATACAAATTGAAGAGATATATCTAGTTTGCCCATTGAGATATAGAAATCATTTGGAGCAGATTCAGAGGGAAAGGATTTCTTAATTCACTAAGGTGTAATGTAAATGTGCTATATGACTTTAGAGATGCTACATAGTATTTGCAATATCCAGCAAGTGCGATATATAACACAAAGCCCTAAAACTATATCAAGTAAATGACATAATTTACAAATGTAAATTAATTAGACATTTCATTTCCATTCAGTGAATTCATTTCTAAATGCCAACATTTACAAATGTAACTTGAAATAGACAAGAAAAAAAGATAAGTATTCCATAATTAAAAATGTCTAGATAACAAGAACTTTTATGTGGTTGAGCATTAGGTGTTAAGTCTACACTAATTTAATATTGCCTTAATTAATAGAGAGATGCGACAAGCCCTGGTTAAATGTCTGTAACTGATTGTTTTATTATAGGAAGCTACTAATCATTATCATTTAGTATTTATTCAAAGAAATTTTAAGAACTGTTCCTAAGCACTAGGGGAAAATATGAAGACAGATAACAGCCCTGCCCAGAGGAAGTTTATCAACCAGTTGAGGAGTGAAAGTGTGTATAATTAAGTGATTCTTAGTACAGTCTTCTTTCTTCCCCTAGCATTATTGTAGGAAGCACAAGACAAGAAAGGAAAGAAGTGATGGCTTGTGTTCCTGAAACAAATTATCCAGTTTGACTGTAGTGTAAATCAAGGGGAATATTGTGAGATAGCAGAGAATGAGCTTGAACCTTACATCCTTTGAAGGGTAATGTGAAGTCTAATGTCATAAGAATATAAGATTAATTTGAATTTTCAAAAAAAATTTTTTAAGTTTTTGCTAATACTTTCCCAGTATTATGCCAGATAGCTATAAGGGATACAAGAGAGGTAGAAGAGTTTCTGTCTTCCATGTGGATGGGGTAAAGACATATCAAATACCTAAAACTAGCTGACAGTGTGCCCTATAATCCCACAGAGTTGGACATTTACTTTTTACTAAACAAGTGCATTGAACTAAAAAACATATAAATGGTCTTTAATGTTGCAGTTTCTTAAGACAGAATTGCAGCCCTCTAATTCCTCATCTCCTTTGTCATGATATAGAAACCAACATCAAATAAACTAGAAAAAGAAAAAAGGTATTAATTATTAGCACTATATTTTATCCCAGTTAGGTATTCAATAAATATTTTTTGATGACTGTAATAAAGGCCTGGTGTTAGCTATTGAAATGAAGCCCAACTTTTGTTCAGTTCAGCCATTCTCAGCCATTCGTTATACCTTTTTAACTTTTTCTCAATTTTTTTTCTTTTTAGGAAGAGCTGAAAAGTTAAACCTCATTTTTCTTGAAGGTTGAGCTGGTGCTAAGAAGGAAATTTTATTTAGACTGTCTTATGCTCTACATCAATGGTGTCAAACTCAAACAGAAAGGGATCTCTTTGGCCAGCATATTGACTTAAAATAACACAAAGTACCATAGTCTATGTTCTGTTTTTATTTTTATTTTTGTTAAACATTTCTCAATTACATTTTAATATGGTTTGGAAGTTTTGCCAGTGCTTGAACTCCTACAGGTTTCACACCTCTGGTCTAGATTATATTTTTCTTAAATACTGAATAAAGCTTTTCAGTCATTTCAGTTGTGTCCAACTCTTCATGACCCCCATTTGGGGTTTTCTTGGCAAAGATACTGGAATAGCTTGCCAATTCCTTCTCCAGCTCATTTGACAGATGAGGAAACTGAGACAAACAGAGTTAAGTGACTTGCCCAGGGTCACACAGCCAGTAATTGTCTGAGGCTAAAGATGAGTATTCCTGACTCCAGGGCCCATGCTCTATCCATTGCGCCACCTAGCTACTCATAAAAGCTTTTAGAGAATTGGACATTCTCTCAGAAAAGATTCTTAGGCCTCTTCTAGCTCAAAATTTTATCATCCCAATTTTTCAAGAGCATTCTTTATAAGTGCCTCTTCAGTACTGTATTATTTACTTGTGAATATTTTCCTTTCCAATCAAGATGGTTCTTACAGGTTTTACTGATAAAGATATTAATGTATAATAAGTAATTTTTCCAAAAATTAGTAAAAAGAAACCAAAAGAAACTAAAGTCCTTCATAAGAAACATAAATATTCTCTTAGGCATTTCACTGTTGACTCAGAAATTAATTTGTTAGAAAACAAGCAAAGAAATCATAATTGTATCTAGTAATTTGATTAATTATTGGCATTTCTCTCCTAGGTGGTGGGTTATGCTTTTGACCAGGTGGATGATAATATACAAACTCCCTACCATGAGACAATATACTCCTTGTTGGATACCCTTAGTCCAGCATACCGAGAAGCATTTGGAAATGCACTCCTACGAAGACTGGAAGCTTTGAAACAGGATGGACAGTCATAATTTATTATACATTATAAACTTATTTTCTGTTAGGCTTGCTGCTGGAAACTTTTTAAATTTAGAACCTGGATTCTTGCTAATGAATATAATATAAAATCATTTTTTGTTTTGTTTTTCAGTGTAACTGCTTGCTTCAGCTATATAGGCTTCTCACTCCAAGCAGTATTAATAATAAACTGTTCTTGTTACTTTTCTTCCACCTAGGGAATGTGGCAGCCCCTGGTTTGTGATATAGATCATGAATATGTTTAGATTTCTTTGGAATACTACTTATGCAGTTTGGGGAAAAAAAACAGTATTTTACTATAAAAAAGCAGGGCTTTACTGCATCTAGTACTGCATATGGAATTCTAGGCTTGCCTAATAAAATTGGCATTCTAATTAATTCTCTACAATTTTAATCCAGCTTGCTAAATCAGGGGTTCAATATTAGCTTGGACTGAATTTGTAGTGATTATTTTGCTACTGGCCTTACAGGGAACAAATTATCAACTAGTTTCCCCTGCACAAACTTTTAAATTGCTTAAACTATTTATACTAGTGCGGATTGATAAAAATGAACTAATTGTATATAATTTATCTAGTATTATTGTGCTAAATGACACAGGGATTAGATTAGTTTTATGTATCCTATTTGCAACCATCAGCCAGCTAAATAAAGGATAAACCTTTAGCCTATGAATGTAAAAATTACTATCTAATCTCCAAGATACCGAAGCACAGAATATAAAAATAGGCTCCATCTTTTTTTCTTAACAAAGAACATAATAAAGTTGCATTGTTAAAAAGATGTTATAATCTGTTTTCCTGGGAAACAATATTTTGGTCCATGTTGATTCTTATTTTTCTGAATGTTTGTTTACATAATGTACAGTGTTTATATATTCAAAAGTATTTTTGCTTCAATGTTTACTTTATAAAATGTAGTCCTTTGGTATCCTGTGATGCTTCCCTTTTTCCCTTCAAATGTACAGTGTTTTGTCTCAATGCTAAATCTACAATGTAATAATGCATTGTATGGGTTTGAAACCAAAGGACATATGAAGCATTCAAAGACTAATATTTGGAAAAAGGATACTCTGTATTTTGTATTTTATTACAAGTACTAATATTTGTAAGTTTATTTAACTGAATAATGCTGCTATGTGTTTTCAGGTATATGTTGGATGGGAACAAAGGGGATTGGTTTTTCAATAATCAGCTAACACCATAGTAGAAGTAAAATTCAATACCTGGATATGCTTCCTAAGTCTACTGAATTTACAAAATGTTATTCTTTGTTTAATAATAAAAGATATTCATTTTTGTTCTGACTAAATATTAATTTGTGTAGGCCAGAGCAAACTAAACATTAATTTGGATTTTGTAGTCAAATCTCATTGGAATGCTTTCGTTAAATTTCAGAAGACGCATATTTGTAGCTTTGTTTTCAATGCTAAACAGTAAAAACAACTTGGATTTGAATTAAATTTTCTCATGCTTATTCTCAGGCTAACTATAAAAAAAGGTTAATAAATTTTTCCTCATTTTTAGTTAAATATGAAGAAAAATGGGTTTTTTTGTGTTTTGTGTTCTCTGTTTTTTTGCTTGGAGAAAATTGAAAGTGCTGATGTTATGATTTGGTTCATTAGTTCTCATTTAACAATTCTACATTTCCTTAATTATATGTTAGAAGGATTAATTTAGTTGCTTGTCTTTGGGAAAGAGATTGATTTATTCGATTTGTAGGTGCTTCAGTGTTGATTTTAATTTGATTTTAATTTAATTTAGTTATATTGAATTGGCTCTGTAAAATGTGGGTTGCATTTCCTGTCTCACAGCAGTTGTGAGGAAAGCACTTTATAAACCTTAGAGCACCATGAAATGTTAGTATCCTTTGTTGGCATACATGAGAATTTTAGTCATTACAGATTTCAGCTTTGCCTTAGCTATTTGAAGAATTTGATTAGAAGGTTTCTAAAGGAGATTGTGTTTTCTTAGGTTTTTAAAAGAGCTATATTTAATAAAAATAAACTTCTAGGACAAACTCTTAGTAGTTTTAAGATTGAACAGGTACTATGACTGGTTTTAACTGGCAACTAGAATTTTCCAGCATCACATAGTGTTTAATCTTTTTTAAAGAGCTTAGCCTCATAATTAATATAGTGTGTGCTCTACATATGCCTCTGATTTTTATTTCTTTTTCTGGGTAGCTTGGAAAACCATTGGTAAATATAAATATGTGTGTAAATGCAGAAGTTTTGGAGTTTTTCTTCATGGCTTTTAATCTTTTTACAAGAGCCTCATTATTATTTCTAGTTAGATTGTCTCCAAAAACTAAGATACTGGTTATTTCAATGTAGCATCCCAAGGGCACTTGTCATCACACCTTTCACATGCTAGTCCAGCTATATTCCCCATTCCCCTGTCTTCATTATATGTGTATGTGTGCTGGGATGAAATTATAGGGAGTTGAAGTGACATCTAAACTGATAGAGCTAAGAGAGCTGTATGTAGACAAAAACCCCAAGAGTGAACCCTAAAAGTTGTAGGAAGGTCATCTAAGCACCAAAGTTCATACAGGGCAGAGCAGTTGGGATGATGAGATGATTGGAAACCCTGCCATACAAGTACATGAACTTGGTAGCCTGAAAAAGAATACTTGCAGGGAAAGGATGGGTGCAGTGATAGTACAGCAATTGTCTTTAGTGCCTGATTATCTTAGAATAGATGAGATTCATTTTGTTTTCTGCTTGGCTCTAGACACAAAGAAGCTTCATAAAGGAACTGCTAAAGGAAAAATTCCCCAAAATTAGAATTGTCTGAAAAGTGAAGTAGAATGCCTCCTATTCCAGAAATGTGGCATTGTTTGTGATTTTCCCTGGGGAAGCGAAACATCCATGAAAGCATCAAGAAGGAAGAAAAAGCTACATATTTTGTAGGGAGAGACAGTGGAGCTAAAACTTCACTTTGAGGGAAGTGGAGAGGATCAGCGCTCTAGAGGTGGACAGGACGTCAGAGGCCTATGGTTCAGCCTCTTCGTTTACGGAAGGAAAGGCGTCCCTTCCATGAGGCCGGAAGTTGGCAAAACTTCCAATTCTTTTGAGTCCTGTACCTGAGACAGGCCAGGAGTAGAATGAAGACAGGGGAGGAAGTCTGCAGTCAAAACAAAGGAATCCTAGTAGAATTCCCTACCAGCCAGCAAAGAGTCACCTGTGAAGGAATAAGCGGACTGAGACGTTGCTATGCCGACAGCAATTGGATATGACAGGAACTGAGTAAGCAATCAAGAGTGTTGGGTGACGTCTTCTTAGAGCTATGGAGAATTGCAAGCTTAAAGAATTAATAAACTCAGTCCAATTAGGAGACCATAAAAACACAGGATTGTATAGTAGGAAACAAAAGCTTGCTTCAAGACATAACTGCTAGTTGTAGAGGCTGCTCATTGGTGGGCATTGTTATTTTCTAGGGACTCTGATAAGAATATTTGCTTTCTATGCCATTCATTAAGCCTTGTAAACTTGTCCCAGAGAGAGGTGGTAAACACTAGTTTCCAGTTAGCCTGGTGGGGTTGATGAAACCCAGGTAAGCAGAACACGCCCTAGGCCCTTTGTGTCAGAGACTTTGGCATAATGAAGAGGAACCATGATGGAATGGAAGGAGCATTGCTTTTAAAACAGCAGATCTGACTTTTAATGCCAGCTCTAACATTAACAAGCCATGTGACCCTTCTTGGCCAGGTCACTGAAGCTCTCTGAATCTCAGATTCTGCATCTATAAATCTTTTGGGAGTTTGTTCCTTTATTAATCCATTCACAAATTTTCAGTCTCTTCCTATGGACTTCCTCTTTCCTTGCAGTCTACCAACAGGCCCACATCTTTAAAAAACAAAAACTATGCTTGCCCTTACTGCCACCTCGAGTTTTTCTTTGTCTTTTTTTTTTTTTTCCCACAGCCATACTCCCAGGAAAAAGGAACCTCTACTTGCCTCCAATTCCTCTCGTTTTACATCACTTTTCAATCTGGCTTCCAACTTCACTAAACCACTCAATTGAAACTGCTCCTTCCTCCTACCCCTCTGCCTGGGAACCAAAACCAGGGACTCAGTGAGTGGCCACAGCCAGTAGGGTCCCCACCCTTTACAAACACACTCACCCTTGTGGGCTTGCTCCTCCTTACCCCCAGCCACAGCTTGGGACTAAGCCTGGTTAGTTCATTTAGGCCTGGCATCCAGCAATGGTGGAGGGCCCCGAAGTCTTGCCACACTGTCCATGAGGCAAAAGTTCCTGAAACAGACCGCCACCTGACACAGTGGTTCTCATTGCTTGTTGACTCTACTGTCTCCAGGGCTTGCTGTTTATTGATTGACCAGTATCTGCCCAGAGGTATTTGCACTTCAATCAGACCAAACAACCACATCAAGAGGTTGGGTCTTTCTCAAGTTGTCTTAGGTGGACAGCTGCTTCACCCCAACTTTTAATTATTTCTGCCAGTCAAAGTTCACATTGAGATGTTATTTTATATTGTTTGTAGGGGGATTTAAGAAAGTCAGGTAATTTCCTGCCTTATTCCACCATCTTCCCAGAATCTTTTCCTTTTAAATCTTTCAAAGCTGTTTTACTTTACATTTTTGTAGCTATCATATAAATGTTTCTTCTAGTTTTGCTCACTGCATCAGTCTGTACAAGTCTTTCCAGGTTTCTCTGAATCTATCCATTTTGTTACTTCTTATGACACTGCAATACTCCATTTGTCATAATTTGTTCAGCCATTTCCCAAATGATGGGCATCCACTTTGCTTCCATATATAAAGTAGAATTTAAAAAAGGATTGTACATGAAACTATGAATCTCTATTCTGTAGAGCTTGCTTTTTAAAAAGTATACAAAAATTCCAATATATATTCAAAACATTAAAATCTGACATTCAAAGTTGTTCTGCTTGATTGTGCTTCTTTTTGAACTTCCTTCTGTATTCTTCTGTGCCTTGTAAAAATATTTCAATGGCCCTCTTTTTATTTCTTTACATTACCATTGCTAGCTTGTGTTTCCACTCAAAATCTAGCCTCAAATTAAAAGCAGGGGAAAAAAACAAACCTTGTAACAAATGACCATAGTCAAGTAAAACAAATCCACCTCCAAAAATATGTCTCTTTTTGTGCCTTGAGTCCATCACCTTTCTCTCAGGAAGTGGGCAACATGATTTATGTCCTCCTTTGCAGACATAGTTGATTACTGATTTAATCAGAATTTGTAAGTCCTTCAAAGTTGTTTTTCTTTACAGTGTTGTTATTGTATAAATTACTCTGCTGTTCTGTTTGCCCACTCTGTGTCAATTCATACAAATCTACCCAGGATCCTCTAAAATCATCTCTTTCTCATTTTCTTATGTCATTATTTGTATTATATTGTGATATAATACATTCCTATTCCGTAATTTGTTCAAATATTCCCCAATCAATGCCACTTATTTCCATTAAAGGATCATTTTTCCAAGTAGCCTTGGTTGTCGGTCTTTTGGAATATAAGCATTCCCAAATATTTTTGAGTTTATAGAAGAATCTTCTTGTGTAGTTCTGACTGTGGTTCTTTGGTACTTGAATTCTTTTATATATATGGTATTTAACCATATATATATGACCTTTGACCAGGAAACTCTTGATTTTTAGCTTTGATATTCTTGGGTGTGTTCAATCTGGGGTTTCTTTCAGAAGGCATTTTGTATATTTTTTTTTCACTTTGCCCCTCTGTTGATCTAGGCAGTTTTCATTTATGCTTTCTTGAAATACAGTGTCAAGCCTTCTTTTGATTGTGCCTTTCAAAGAGTTTGTTTCTTAAATTATCTCTCCTTGAGTTTTGTCAGTTGTTTATTTACCTACACACACACACACACACACGAGTATATATCACATACCTTACATTTTCTTATAATTTTTCAATCTTGATTTTTTGTATTTCATGGAGTTACTGATATTATGTTTCATCAATTCTAATTTTCAAAGAGCATTACTTGGGTGAGGTTTAACAATTTCTGTTGTGAACTTTTTTTTCCTTCCAATCCTTTTCTCCAGAACTTTTACTTCATTTTTTATCTCTTGTTTCATTTTTTCCAGGTAATCGTGTAGTCCTTGTGGAAAATTCATTTGTATTTCTTTAAGCACCTGCTTGCAATTGTTACGGAGTTACTCTCTTCTTCTAAGTTAGATTTCTGAGTGTTTGGGCATCTATAAAAATTCTTTAGTGTGGTTATTGCCTTCTATTTTTTCAAATCTTCAGTCTTGGTTCCTGAATTGGGCCTTTGTGCTAGGGCCAGACTCTTTCCCCTGATTTAATTTTGGGTGTGACAGTCAGCCCTGCTTGGTCTTGATCTGTGTCTCCTGAATTGTTAATGCTGATTTCCACTCCCTGAGATATACCTATGCTTAGTAATGACAGCTGTTAATCCCCATAGATCTTTGACATACAGAGTTTTGCATTCTCAGGGCCTCCTAAGGTATCTTAGGACAGAGTTCTAGACATTTTG